GGAAGGAAGGAAGGAAGGAAGGAAGGAAGGAAGGAAGGAAGATGGATCAAGCTCCAAAACCCAAGAAAGACACATGAGATTCTTCTGAACACATTTCCTCAGAAATCTTGCCAAACTAAAGCGGACTCTGTTTGCACCATAAAACTTATCTTCTGGGAACTAGTAGGGAGCAGTTGTCTTCACCCACTTTCTCATACACAACCTATCTAAGCTGCTTGGTCCCTTGCTCCTCTCAAATGCAGCCCCCCTTCCTTGGAATCCAGACTACTTTCTACCACAGAAACATTTGCTTCTCCATTTTCTCACCCCGGGATACACAAGAATCGTTCAACCCCAACTTTTCTTACGTTCCCACCTCCACATGAACTCTGTCCCGAAGATCAGCAGTCCCCAAACTGGTCCATTCCAGTTCCGTTTAGAGAACAGATCCATACCGATTGCAAATGCAGTCGTGACCTCTCCGACAAGACTCTGGTCATCTCCAGAAGGGACATTGAGATTAGCATCAACCAACCTAGCCATGAAATGGTTCTTACCGATCACACAAAATGGCTTGCGGGCGAATTTTAATCTTCCCCTCCAACCTCGGTACCGACAGCAACAGCCAGCCGCCCAGATCCGTACAAAGTACTCCACTCCGAAGACCACAATAGTGACAATTTCCTGCCAGAAAGACAGAACTTGTAGTGTAATATAACAACACAAGACAATCCTGATACAACAATTTCTACTCTATTCTACTCTACTCTATTCCACTCCATTTCACTCTATGCCACTGCATTCCATTTACCAAATGCACGGCTCTCTTCTCTGGATTTAACAGAATGACAGAGTTGGAAGGGACCTTGGAGATCTTCTAGTCCAGCCCGCTGCTCAGGCAGGAATTTATTTAATTATCTCCTTGCATTTCCATAAACCTGGCCAGCAACTTTGGACAGAGATAAATTGCTCTGTCTGGCTCCAAAGTGTGCAACGCTCAGCAAAGTGCCAGCTCTCATTAGAGTTCCCTTTTCTCAAACCAGGACGATTGAAATTGTGCATCTTAACAGAATTAACAGAATTGGGAGGGACCTTGAGGTCTTCTAGTCCAACTTGGACAGCTTGGACAGGAAACCTTATACCAGTGGTGGCTAACCTTTTTGGGCTCCTGTGCCAAAAATTGTGCAAGCACTTGCACTTGTGCGCTCGCGTGCCAGCACTCAGAAGGCAATGCATATGCCCCCCCTGCCCCCTGCACATGCATGCACATACACCCCCGCTGCCCCCTTACCTGCACTGCGCCTCACAGCTGATTTTCGGCCAGTTTGAGACCTTTTTCTGCCTCTGCCGGCTTTGCAGGCCGAATAATAGGCCCATTTCGTCACTTCCGGTGTTCACAGGAAGTGATGAAACAGGCCTGTTATTCGTCCTGCAAAGCCTGCAGAGGCTTTTTTCAGGCCATTGGGAGGCCGAAAAAGGCCTCAAACCTGCTAAAAATCAGCTGTAAGGCACACGCATGTACAGTGAGGTAAGTTTGCCTGTGGCTCGCGTGCCGGCACAAATGGCTCTGAGTGCCACGTGTGCCAGAGGTTCCCCATCACGGCGTTATACCGTTTCAGACAAATGGTTGTCCAACCTCTTCTTAGAATCCTCCAGTGTTGGTGCATCCACAACTTCTGGAAGCTAGATATCCCATTTATCAATTGTTCAAACTGTCAGGACATTCCTCCTTGGTCTCTAGGTTGCTTCTCTCCTTGATTAGTTTCCATCCATTTTATCCATCCATCCGTTTTAATCTTAAGACCTTGAGCATCACACTTACCAGACTGTAAAGGGCCCATGCAGAACTCTCTTCGTAATCATCGATGGTGGAAAAGACGGAGAGGACTAAACAGGAGAGAACCAGCAGAAAACTGGACAGCCCAGAAGCAAAGAAAAAGAGAAAGAGAAGAGGAAATTAGTGCAGCCATTGATGGATTTGTTGCATTCTTTTTTTTTTCTTCCAGGCCACAAATGACAGGTTGCTTCCTACAAACTGCTTAA